TCAATTTCTCTACTGCTCTGTGTACAACATTAATGTCATTTATCACAAGATTGACTGAAATGCCAATATAGAAATGTGTACACATATGTGTAGAAAAATTGAAGAAGAGCATGAGACCTGCAGAATCAGAAGCCAGGGCAGAAGAGACAGAGGTGAAAGAAACAGAAGAAGAAGAAGATGCAGAACTGAATGAATAACAGCAGAAGTCACTCAGAGCTGAATGCTTATAACCTGATGTGTGCACAATCTTCCCTGCAGAGAAGTGAGAGAAAGTGACAGAAGAAGCTTGAGAGTGAAAGAAGATAGTCTCAGCAGTATTATTATCTTTGATCAGAATGACCTCTGATGCTGAAGCAACTAAGAACTATTGTTAGTGTATGAAACTGTAAAAAGCAGGGATAATAATTACTGAATGAACACTCACTGATCTTAGAATTGTACATGTAATTACAACATGCACAAGGCTTCTCAGAAAGAGAGAGAGAGACACAGAGAAATGCAGGAAGCAGAATACAGTGTGTGAACAGCTCATTCTCATAATAATATCTCAGACAAGGTGTACAAGCCTCATGCCTGTGAGTGTAAAAGAGTACAACATCTGCATTTCTGTTTCTGAAAACACAGATATTCTTCACCTGTATCATGAAGTTGAATGACAAATGTCAGAGAATAGGCTGATATGAATTGATTATTCTGAAGATATTCATCAGAGCAGATATATCTGTAATATTGAATTTAACAGTCATGAAAAGTTTCTTAATATCTGTGAATATCACAACTTTGTGCACAGTAAAACTCATAACAATTTTCTCTAAGAACAGAAAAATCAGTGTTAGAAAGAAAAGATGAAAAGAAAAAGACTTACAATCTTGACACTGTTGAGAAGAGAGGTGATTCTCTGATACAAATGAATGATTCTCTTATCATGAATATTTAAAATAAACATAATAATCAGTGTCTGTGACTGAGCTTTAGATAGTTATATCATACACTGTCTTTGTGCAATAAATCATTCTAGAAGTTGATAAGAAGAGTGAGAGTATACATGCTGAAAGAAGTGATTCATTAAGCCTATGCAACATCTTCTTGAAATGAGAAGAGCTGATAATGAAAGCAGAGATGATAAAACCAGAAGTAGCAGAAGTGAGAGTCATGGGAACAGAGGTAGCAGGAGAGGAACCAGACACAGAGACAGATGTAGAAGATTGAGAGAGAGTGGCAGAGAAAGAAACAGAGAGAGTAGAGAGAGACACAGAAGACTCAGTTACACATAGCATGAGCAATTTCTTTATTATTGCATTCTTCAAGTTCTCAATCAATGATTCAACACTGAGTTCACTATCATCAGTGAACACAGATCTGTCAATGTGTGAAGATTCTATATAAATAAAAACAAACATATCAGCATCTGCATTCATGTAAAATTGTGCTAAGAAACACAATCAGAAACCCGCTGAGAAGAAAATGATTGAGAGTGTATAAGAAGATAGAGAAGGTGTATCATTCATAATAGTATGTTCTGATAATTGTTAGAAGATAAACAAGTTCTGGTTATGTTTCACAATGTGTTACACTTACTGCTAATGAACTGCCTGATATGAGCACTATGAGAATACTTGTTATGAGAATGAGAAGCCATCATCAGAAACATGTATGATGTGATAGATGAACAGATGAAAAGAGTTGAACAGAAGAAGAGATAGAAATCTTGAATGAGATGATGATATTTGATAATGATGATAATGAAGATGATGATTGAAGAATGAGAAAAGTTAGTGAATGAGTGATGTAATATAGTGAAAGTTTCTTTGTGAGAGTGTATACAGAATGCTAGCTGAATCAGAGATAGGTTATATGATTATAAAATGCTAGTGACGAGCTAATCCGCATGAAGCTAGAGTGTATGACATGATCATGTGAGTGTGACTGAATCTGATGAGAAAGAATGTGATTCAGAAGAACATACAACTGTTGAATAATAATGCAGCTGCTTCTGAACTACTAGTGTATGTGACTGCTTCTGAGCTACTAGTGTATGTGTACAAGTGTAAAGGGGTCATAGCAGCTGCTAATTAAATTAGCGTACAATATTACAATATATAAGAAGCCGGCGTACGCCTGTAATCGTACACTGGCTTAAGCAACCTTTGAATCACAAGATTTCACAGATATTACACATTCAATAAATGATATAATCATGTCTAAAGATAATATGAAAGAACTCTTAAATATGAGCATAGATGTGATATCACAGTGGCTTCAAGCAGTGTTGAAATTATAACAGTAACAGATAGCTGATATGCATGTGACTCAACAACTTCAATATGAGAAAATTCAATGATTAACTTAATAAGAAACTCATGCAATTTCAACATCTACAGAATTGAATATAAAAGCACTGAAAGAATACTTAAATACTTCTGTATATTTTAATACTTCTAATCTCACTCTCTACTCATCATGAAGAATGAAAATGCTTGTAAAACTGAGTGTAGATGAAGATGTCATCAGTTTACTAATCAATCAAAGTTAATATATTAATGAATAATTAAAGAATTATGTGAAATACAAGTTTCATTTATAAATGAAAGCATGTGAACCAGTATTGTGAATATCTGATAACATTATCAAACATCTTGATGTTCTATTTCAAGACACTGTCATATAACAGAAAGTGTTAGATTGATTACAGAGTGTCTGACAAAGAAATACTTCTCTCACAACATTCATCTCTAACTTCAACATCAAGATTCTGAAAGCAGGTGATTAATTTTGAGAGAATTGAATCAAGATCAACATATGTAAGAAGATATTGACTTTCAAACTCTTACAGACTCTTATAAGTATAAATAAAGCCCTGACTTATGAAGACTTCTGCACATAACTCTGAAAATTGAATAACTATCTTATCAAGCTTAAGAATATATAGAACAGTGGTAGAAGACATTACATCTCAGTTACTTATACACTCACATCTGCACTGAAAAATAATAACAATAATGCAGATGCTATGAACTAAGTAGACTTAAATATCTACACATAAGTAAGAGTCTCTGCTGTTTGAACAGGCTTTTAAGTTCCTGAGATCACTTCTGAAGAAGTCACTGATTGATGTGAATGTAAAGTATATATCATCTGTAACTGATCAGAACACATTACTTTCAACTGCTGATTAATCTATATATCTTCTCACTTGAGAGAAAGATCAGTGCCTTCTTACTCAAAGAATGAATCAGCATCTGTTCATATTAATCACATTGCAGTGAAGAAAGATTTAGAAGATAACTATAAGAATACTCTGATAAAACAGAGAAAAGATTAGCTTCTGTTCAAATTTGCAAACAGAAGCTTGAAGAGGTCAGACAACAATAATTTGAAGAAAAGATGATAATGAATGTGATTCTTATATCTACTGTGATGAATAACATGTATAATGTAAAGATCATGATAGATAGTAATCTATACTACTATACAATGATTAAATCTTCAGTTGTAAGATATTACAATCTTCAGTATATTCTCTTATCAAGACTCTGAGTTCTCACAGAATTTAATAGCTTAAAAGACATTTGTATCTGTTATATAATAAAGTTAATCATAGATGTTGAAGAACATCAATGTGAAGATGTGTATATATATGAAGTTGATAATCTTAATTATAATCTTATATTAGAACTTGTCTGACTATCTGAACAAGGTATCTTATTAAACACTTAAAACAGAAGCTTGATATTTTCTAACAATGATAGAATTCATAAAGATGATATTTAGAAAATCATGAATCTGACACAGATCTCTGTCAATACATATGAAATACTCTGATAAAGAAGTCACTGACAGAATCACTGATAGTATAATTATGTGATAATCTGCTTTGTCAGTCTGACTTATATTAAAAAGACTATAGAAAAGTTATTCTGTGTTATAATAATACATTCTTATACAAAACTCTCTTAATAATATCACAAATATCTAGATGTCTTCTAATAAGATAATATTATAAACATACTCTTCTTATAAGATTCAGAAGTGAATCACAGTATCAAGTTAGAGAAGAAGAATGATAAAGACTCTGAACTATTATAAGACTCTCTTTATAACATGTCTTGAGATGAACTTCTTCTTCTTTAAAAGACACTCAATGATCTGTTGAATAAAGAATTCATATGTATTAGTAACTCTTTCATCACAGTCTCTATTCTCTTTGCAAAGAAATCAGGTGAAGAACTCTGATTCTGCATGAACTATCAAGAACTGAACAGATTAACAAAGAAAGATTATTATTCTTTATCTCTTATTAATGAAACTCTAACTCATATTGAACAAGCTCAATGATTTACAAAGTTAGATATCATCATTATATTTCATAAGATCTGCATTATTAAAGAAGATGAGTGATTTATAGTATTCTGAACATGATATAATCTCTTTGAATGAGTAGTCACATCTTTTGAACTGACTAATACTGTCAGTATATTTCAGAAGTATATCAACTCAGCACTCTGAGATTTCTTTAATAAATTCACATCTGTATATCTTAATGATATTCTCATCTTCACTGATAAGTTCAGAAAAGAATATTAAGAACATGTATAAAAGATATTATAATAACTACAGAAAGCAGAACTACTGATAGATATAGATAAGTATGATTTTAAAATTAAAAGTACAAAATATCTAGACTTTATCATAGAAGCTGATAAGAGAATCTAAATGAATTCTGAGAAGATCTCTGCTATTCTTGAATAAAAGGCCTCATACACTGTGAAAGATGTTCAAAGCTTCATTGAATTTACTAACTTCTATCAGTGATTTATATGAAACTTCTCAGATATTACAAGATTACTTACAGAACTCACTAAGAAGAACTCAGTATTTCAATGATTAGCAGACACTGAAGCTGTGTGATTCAAAGATTTCTTAAGCCAGCGTACGATTACAGGCGTACGCCGGCTTCTTATATATTGTAATATCATACACTAATTTAATTAGCAGCCGCTATGGCCTCTTTACACTTGTACATGTACACTAGTAGTTTGAAAGCGGCTGTGTATGCTAGTAGTTCAGAAGCAGCTGTGTTATTATCTGATGATTGTACATTCTTTCAAACCACATTCTCTCTCACTAGATTCAGTCATGCTCATGTGATCATGTTGTACACCCTAGCTTCATGCAGATTAGCTTATCACTAGTGTTTCACAATTGTGTGATCTATCTCTGATTTGACTAGTATTCTGTATACACTCTTACAAAGAAACTTTCACTATATTACATCACTCATTCACTAACTTTTCTCATTCTTCAATCATCTTCTTCATTTCATTATTATTAAATGCTACAATCATTCAAGATTTCTATCTCTTCTTCTGTTCAACTCTTTCTATCTGTTCATCTATCACATCATATATGTTTCTGGCAATGGCTCCCTGTTCTTATAACAAGTGTTATCATAGTGCTTATACCAGGCAGTTCATTAGCAGTAAGTGTAATGTGTTGTGAAATATGATCAGAACTTGTTTATCTTCTAATGATCACTAGAATAATATATTATTATGAATGACACATCTTCTTTATCTTCTTATACATCTCTGATCATTTCCTTCTCAGCAGGTTTCTGATCATGTTTTCTAGCATGATTTTGTGTGAATGCAGATGCTGATATGTTTGTTTTTATTTGCATAGAATCTTCACATGTTGACAGATCTGCATCTGCTGATAATAGTGAACTCAGTGTTGAATCATTAATTGAGAACTTGAAGAACATGATAATGAAGAAATTGTCTGTATCATGTGTGGCCAGGTCTCCCGCGTCTTCTCTTGCCTCTTCTGCTGCTTCTTTCCCTGCTGCTCCTTCTCAATCTTCTACACTTGCCTCTGTGTCTGGTTCTCCCGCTCCCGCTACTCCTGTTTCTGTGACCCCTACTCTCACATTGTGAGAATGAGCTGTTCGCATGCTGTGTTCTGCTTTCTGCATTTCTCTGTGTCCCTCTCTCTCTTTCTGAGGAGCCTTGTATGTGTTGTAATTATGTGTACAATTCTAAGGCCAGTGAGTGTTCATTCAGTAATTGTTATCTCTACTTTTACAATCTTTGTATGCTAACAATGATTCTTAGGTACTCTGGTGTCAGAGGTCATTCTGATTGAAGATGATAATGCTGCTGAGACTACTCTCTTCTGCTCTCAAGCTTCTTCTGTTGCTTTCTCTCTCTTTTTCTTCTCTGTGAGAAAGGTTGTGCACACACCGGGTTATAAGTGTTTGACCCTGAGTGACTCTCACTGTCATTTATCTGATTCTGTGTCTTCTTCTTCTTCTATTTCTTCTGTCTCTATTCTCTCTGCTCTGACTTCTGATTCTGTGAGTTCTGTGCTCTTCTTCAATTTCTCTATATATACATGTGTGCATTTCTATATTAGCATTCCAGTCAATCTTGCAATAAATGATATTAATGTTGTGTACAGAGTGATAGAGAAATCAGAGATATGCACAGTGTTGTTGTAAGAGTGACTTACAGCTCTCAAATTCCTTGTAAATCTTGTGTTTTGAGATTTTCTTTGTTTTTGATGTTTTTCAGATGATGTAGCATTGGAAATAGATTAACATGTGATGTATGAAAATGAATGAAATGTGTATAATAATATTTGTCTTTTACAGCTGACTCTTACAGTTGATGATTAATTCATCATTTCTTTTCTTACACTTTTTCTTTATCTGCTAGTCACTACTCTTATATAATCTCTATATAATACAGTATTCAGTGACTAGATTCAGCAGCTTTCATCTTTTATGATTCTGTCTCATGTATTATACTATCTCTCTTCATCTGCTCAGATCACTACAGTGAACAGCTTATTGAAACTAATCTTATCTGATCTCTGAGCATCTTCAGAAATTGAGATGACTTGATCTTATATGTCTGTGAATGTTTTAAATAGTTTATTCTCTGTGATCTCTGCAATTAAACTGATGTAAACAGTTAAATTCAACTCTGAATTTCTTTTTCTTCTGTGATCTGACTTATATATAAGTCTGCTGCTCTGAGACTGCTCTTTACTGTGTTATATTCACTGTCTGTGATGTATTATTATATAACTGGCTACAGTCTCATCACTTATTAAAGTGTGATATTCATCTGATTTCTTCATTTCTTCTCATTCTTTTCTTATAATTGTGAAAAGATCAGAATAAGTGAGATTATCTGATTTATAAGTATCTATGATTTCTCTTACTTCATGAGACTTTTCAATTGTAAGCTTCTTCTTTTTCAATGCTGATAATAGTGCTGTAGATGATTATAATCTGCTCAGATCTTACATCTTTACTTTCATAAGTCATGAATCATTGATTAAGTTGTATAAGATCTGTTTCTCTGATTCTTTCAATGTGTACATTCTCAGAGAATGTGATTTGAGTATTTTATATAGCTTAAATTATCTAGATTGAAACTTCTCAGAACTCTCATTGCATATGAGAACTCATATTCTTATCTTGAGACTTGATTTCTTAACAAGTGAGTCTTGTATTCTTTTCAATTGAATTGCTCAGTTCAGAAGTAACTTATTAGCTTTTACATGTGCATGACTGATCTCTTTCAATCTTGGTTCTGCATCTGCAACTGTTGTGTTCACAACTGCTGTTTCTGCTGCATTCACAACTGCTTTCTCTTTCACCTTTTTCAAAGCATTCTCCGGGATGCGCGGATGCAATTTATACAACAGATAGAATGATAAACACTTGAAGACTGCATGCTGCTGAATTTGTGTGATTAATAGTGTCTGACTGAGATATTCATTTCATAATCTCATAGACTTGCTCACTAGATATTTCATCAGCATGTTGCTTAAGATTTCATTCAAGTGTTTCATCTTCCTGTTTATCTGTGAATGATATGATGTTGTTCTATAATGTCTTATCTGTAACTGGCTCATGAAATGCCTCACTACTTCTTCTATGAGATTTGCACTGTTATCAGTTAGAATCTCACATGGCATTTCATAGTTAATATAGATCTCATTATATAGGAACTTCATCATTATCTTCTCTGTTATCTCTGAAACTGCTTTCACAACTGGCCAGTCAGTAGTGTAATCAATAGCAGTGATTATTCATCAATTTTCATTTGATGTTCATGGCAATATGTCTATGAGATTCATCTCTCATTGTTTAAACAGTTGTATCATACACTTTATCTGATGTTGCACTTTCTCATATTCTAACTCTTTCTTAGATTCTTTCACAACCCAGCAATTCAGGCACTTGTGAGTGTACATCTGAATATTCTCAGCCATGCTTGATCAGTATACTCTTGATTTAAGTACATTCATGAGTTCAGAGCTTTCTATGTGACTGAATTTCTTGTGCATGTGAGCCACTAAGTTATGTCAAAATGAAGATTCTAGATAGAGAGCTTCTATGTATTCTAGATCATAGTAAAGCACAATATTGTTTTTCAATTTTTCCAGCTTGAAGTTCAGAAGCATCTCTTCTACTACTTTCACAAGACACTTGTTATCTAACATCTTGTCATTCTTCAAGTAAGAGATCATGATGTAAACTCATTCTGATTCCTTACATTCTCTCAGTGTGTTTAATGCGAACATTCCTTGTACCTGATTTGTAGAACTCTCACTCATGAAATTGAGTCTGTGACTGATTACATCAGATATCATAATATCTGATCTCTTTCAGTATTTGATATGAAGATTGTATGCTTGAAACTCTGAGATTCAATGTGCTAAGTCTTTGAAAGGTTTTATTATCAATTGTAGATAGATGAGGCTTTCATGATCTGTGATCACTGTTATTGTATACCTGTTATTAATATATCTATCTCACAATATCAGTGTGTGCTTGATCACTAGCAATTTCTTTTCATATACTGAGTAATTGAGCTCAGTATCTGATAGTTTCCTATCATTGTATATCACTGAGTACAGCTTGCTATTCTTACTCATCTGTAGAAGAGTGTCTCTGATAGCTTATTCAGATATGTCTGTCTTAATATAGAAAGGTTTATTACAATCTGATTGAATAAGTACTGAGAATGTTATAACACATTTTCTCAGTGTGAGAAAAGCCTCTTCACATGTGATATTTCAGATGATTGAATAAAACTTCTTCTTTCACAGATTTGCATCTGTTTCTCTTAAGAGATCTGAGAGTGATGCAGATATTTGTATAAAATCCTTGATAAATCTGCAGTAGTATGAGATCAACTCAAGAAACTGTTATATATAATGTATATTTCTCAGCTGCAGTTAATTTACTATGACATTCAATTTCTCTGAAATGAGATGTATACAGTCATCACTTACTACATATTCTACAAACTTCAACTCTTTCATTTCAAATACACACTTGATTGATTTAATGTAGAGCTTATACTCTGTCAGAGTTATAAGCACTTCATTGAGATACTTCAGATGTTTGTTGTATAAGTTTGAAAAGACTAGAATATTATTGAGATATAAAAGACATGAGATTTCATTCTATTTATGAAGAATTGTATTCATCATCATTTGAAAGATGATAGATGTATTTATCAGACTGAATAATATTATCAGGAATTTGAACTTTTCTCATTGTGTATTAAATGCAGTTCGCGGGACTGACAGTTCATCTACACAGATCTGTCAGTATTCTGAGAGAAGATTGATCTTTAATAGATATCAGATGTTTCTGACTGTATTCAACTGTTATTGAATCTGTGACAGTGAATATTCATTCTTGATTGTAAGCTTGTTAAGTGCTTGATAATCAATACACATCTATCACTTTCTATTCATCTTTTTCATGAATAGAACTGGAAAGCCTCATGCACTTGATGAGAATTGTATAAGATCACATTCTAGAAGATCTATGATCTGACACTTCTGTTCTTTGAGATATGTTTGTGACAGAGGATATGCATTCTGATTGACTGGTTTTGTGTCCTCTGTGTCAATCTCATGTATGAATTCTCATTTCAGTGGCAATTCCAGTGAAAGATCTGTTTGAAAAACCTTCTCATACTTCTTCAGAAGCTTCTTCATACACTTGTTCTTCTGTATATCTTTTATCTTAGTTTTCTCTGCTTCTGAGTCCTGTATGATATACAGAATGCTTTCAGATGAGATCTTATAAATCATTGTCTTTGCTTATTGATGTGTAAGCAGATTTAACTCTTCTATATCAGAGATGTGAAATGTCCTTTTCATATCAGTTGATAGAATCATATAAATCATTTTCTTTCTATCAGTCAACTGTATATGACATGTACATCATTAAATCTGTGAATTGAACCTTTGAAATCAATTGAGTCTGAGAATAAGATTGTATTTCATGTTCTGCAGCTCTTACACTTAAATATAGCAAGATCATTCTCTGAAGTGCAAGAGAACTCTTACTTTTACAGATGATATCAAATATCAGTTATTAGATAATCTTATACATCAGAGATTCTTCACTCAGTGAATCTCTTTCAATCTTCAGATTATATAATTATCAATATATTATATTAAAGCTTCTGTGTCTGCTAATACTTTTGCAGCCATCTCTTGATTCTTATTCAAGTGTCTCTTATACATTAACATTTCAGGTCTTAAGACATTGAGATAAGTGTTCACTTCATTCTCATCTGTATCTCAGTCAGAAGCCTGCTTTCTCTTGATATTTACAGAATTCAGAGAGTCATCTAACATGAGCATCTCTTTCACTTTGAAGACTTTTCATAGAATATCAGTGAGTGTCTTCAAGCTCACTGATTCTGCTAGTTTTTTGACTCTCTTACATCTCTTGACTGTGTACACTGAGTGCAATCTTTTGCATCATGATTTTGATATCTGTAGTTAAAGCAAGCTTGATACTCATAATATCAAGATTTTCACTCAGAGAATCTCTTTTTCAGAGAATTCAGTGCTTTAGTGATGACATTCAGATCTAGATTTATTGTGTCTGAGTGTGTGACTTATGTCATAGAAGTCTGATTATCTGTTCTCTGCTGAGATATACTTAATTACAGTATTTTCTATTACAATTGACTGACTTGTTTCTGTATGATAAGAATATTATATACTTCTTTCATCATATCTGATTACAAGATTAAGCATTTTCATTTCACTCTCAACTCAGATATAAGATCATGAATGAAGATCTGTAAATAGAAAGA